GAACGCAACATTTTATACTGCTTCTGTGTGGTTCAGTTTTCGATTTATCCTTATTGAATTTCCGACAATGACGATGAACAATACTAAAATGTTGTAGGGGAGTGAATAACACATGGATATAGATACAACTACAAGTTCAAAAATGGCGGAAGAGGTAACTAATCTTCTAATATTTTTACTTTGAAAAGGAACTGTACGAAACGTGATGAAATGGATATTATGACTAACATATGAATTTTACGACTTACTCGTGTAGTAATGTACTTCATAGTTTGATAAAAATATCCATCAGTACGCCGCATGTATAGAATTTATGTGGATAAATTAATTGCTGTGAATTTATTAATTTAATTATTAACATATTTTTTCATGTTTTATAAAATATATGAATCGTAAAGGTCACTATTATTTTGTAGATGTGTTTTTGGACAGAGGTACATTTCACTTCTTATTCGTGCATGATGTTTCTTTTAGTTCCTTTATTTTGGAGAGGTTAATATTATACGTCTTTGCGAGACTAAATTCTATAGTCACGTTGAAAATTAAAATATCGGTAATCGTGTAGTAACTTTTATCTAACGGCATGGAACCTGCAGAACAATTCTAAGCCTGGTAAGTAAGTCTGTCTTGATAATCTCATTCCGAATAACGACATATTATGCTATTATGGAACATACGGATTTTACGGATATTAAAATTTACCTGTTTTGCTCTCTTGAAATAAACGCTTATGTTTGTATAATTGTCCTATAGTCGTAGAGGGGCAAACAGCAGATGAAATCCATTATTTCTGTATAGTATACAGGGCTAATTTAACTTTTGTCTTGACAATTAAAGTGAACAATAGTAATCGAGGTTTAAAATGGGCAAAATAATCTATGTATATATTAATAGTTGTAAAATAATATTTATTTCAAAACTAGCTTCAAACGTTTTCTAATTATAGAGTAAAGTACACTTATAAAAATTCCTCAGGTTTGGTTTTTGATGAACTCTTTTTCTTACTTGCAAAAGTTTCAAATATTGCCAGAAAGAACGTATTGCATAAAATACGCGTTTGCATTAATCTCAATTAAATCGCATATCCCTGGTTGGAAGCTGTGTCCCTTCGATGTCCGTTCGTCCCACTGCACTGCGCCTGTCCCTAAAGGGAAAGTGCGACCTCCGCCCACAATTTCGCATTCATCTCTGGAAGCAATTTAATTGAATAAATACCGCTACGACGTACAACGGAACTGGCGCGGTGAGATGGCAGTATTTTACTGTCATCCTGACGGGTAGGTAACAACTGTATATATTCTCCGTGCAACGTTGGTGGACTGTTGAAAGATCTGATGAACTGCAGTGTGCAACGCAATATATTTCTTTAACGTTTTTGAAAATTGAAATCCGTTGAATTAACACATCGTCAACTTCCGTTTTCCCACGTTTGGCTCTTCTGTTGTTTCGCCTTGTTATTAAGGTTGTGGATGCACAAAAATTTTAGTCGAGGGTACAAATGTAATCAAGAGTAATGTTTTACAGCTAAATTCACATTAAAGTAAAAACTCGCTTATTATTTGCGGTTATTCTTCTCGTAACTCTCTAATTACTTCTCTAAATATAACGCAATGTAAGGACCCCATTTCAAAATTAGAATAAACGAAATTTTCTCTTATTTTTCTACACTTCAAATAGATCTTGACTATTGATCGAATTATATTTTCATTCCATTTATATATTAGAATATTTAATTTTAGAGAGTATATTAACAGTATCCAAATGTTTCCTACGAGATGTATTTTTATGAAAGTAATGATAATTTTGTCTGTGAAGAAAACCTGAATTAATATTAAAATAATGGTTTATATATTTCATTTGAAATATACTGAAGGGATAAAATTCATGTGATAGCAGAATACAAATATACAGAGGGCAGTAGTCTCGCCTTCAAAAGGTAGATACGCGCAGTGCAACGGCAGAGCTTTCATTTGTACTCAAGTGATTCATGTAAAAAGGTTTCTGTTGTGATTGTAGCCGCAAGACGAAACTAACAGACTTTGACAACTGAATATTGGTTAAATTTCGACGCATGGAATATTCCATTTTCTAAATCGTTAGGGAATTCAATATTCAGAGATCTACAGTGTCAAGAGTGTGCCGAGAATATCTAATTTCAGGCATAACATTTCACCATGGACAACGTAGTGGCCGTTGGCTTTCACTTAAACGTAGTGTGCGTTGATTTGTCAGTGCTAAGAGAAGCAACAATGCGTTAAATAACAGCAGAAATGAATGTGGAACGTATGACGAACGTGTCTGTTTGGACAAGGCGGTGAAAGGTTTGAACCAAATATAAAAGTGAAAAGTGACCCTAAACCAATTCTCTAAGTTTTCTATAATTGTAAGTGGTTAAATAGTTTCAGCGTTTTTCTACAATAGAAGACTGAAGATAGACTTTTTTGTTAATGAAATTTCTACTTTAGAAATAAGCATTGCAGAGATGTCATGTACCATTTTTGAAATGTATGAATAGTTCTTGCTTAATTTTGCATGAAATAAAAGCACTTATAAAATAAGATTGTTTCAAAACTAGCTTCGAAAGTTTTCTTTATTTTTCGTATAGTGTAAAGTACACTTATAAAGTTCCTCATATTAGATTTTGTTGAACTCTTTCTTAACTGCAAAAGTTTCAAATATTGTCAGAAATTACGTGTACTCCTTCTTGTACAATTATATAATAAAACTTGTCTGTTTTTAGACTTCTCATAGTCCATTAAGGGGAAAAGATAAGTAAAAACAAATAAATATGTTCAGATAAGCTTAAAATATTAGAAGTAATAGTTGCTTTCAAGTTGTCTTCTTCGGAGTTAGTCGAGATCAAGTGTTGTCTGACACTTGCCGCAAATCCATGAACCCATCTTGCGTTGCCTGCTGACTCACTCAAGATTCTTGGTGTCCCTGCGCATTGCAGATTAACCACACCTTTGTTGATATTTGCAGTACGACTCAACAAACACTTTCTTCTAATATGTGAATGACATGAGGAGTAAAGGAGATCTTTTTATACAAATGAGAAGGCCGTTGGAATGGGGTGTAACTAGTACGACATATCAGTGAAGTATCACTTTCTGAGGATAGTTGACGGTTTTTAGCGATCTAGCAATCGAAAAGTTAGATAGTTTTGTAGAAGATATCTTTGGAGGAAAACAAGATACCCATTATGATATTTAATATTTATGTTTCTGTGTCCTTCTGGCTTCGATGATGGATAGATTCAACTCTCCCTGTGGCAGCGATATTTCAGTGCCAGGGTTGCCAAGACGACAGTAAGTAGATGATTTGTCAAAAGAAAATCAGTCGAGTGTAGTCACTACACTTTATTCATCTCAGGGGTACAAACATTATTTTCTTAAGCATTCTACTATTTTCACACGCATCATAATTATGTGCTTCATTTGTTTATTTATAAATTACCTTGAGAAATAATAGAATCAATCTGGTGCTGGTTTCACCCAGCTGTTGTGACCACTGAGCTATTAAGATCAAGTTATCTGATGAAATTGTTCTTACACATGTACATTGACCGTGAACTTCATTAATTGGTCGCGTGATAAGTTATATGGATGAAAAATAAATTAAATAGTAGATTAGCACCCGTTAAGAACAGTTAAACTAAACCAAAACTCCTAGTATATGCATCAATTCAACCCAATAAGGGTCTCAAGTAATGATCTCCACAATCCTTTGAAAGCATTGAAATCTAAAACATATCAGCTTCTACACTCTGCGGTAGGTACAGAATATCTAGCGAATTCATTTTATATTTGAGAATCACGCAAACCTCACCCTCCAAGGCCCCAAATGCAGCAGTACTGCATGCTGAACCGCAAAAATAACTAGTCTAAAACTTCCCATGCGATCTCGTGCCAAGCGCTTTTGCCAAATGCTGAGAATGAAGTTATATTCTCGGCCCTTTTAAAACTTGAGTGAAAAATTGCAGTCATTGTAGCGCAAGAATTAACGATCGAATTCACATGAAAAATTGATAGCGCCCCACTTGCAGCGTCGAGTGGATTGTGATGAAGTGAGGTGTGGCTTTTATTCCACTTTCCAGCAACCGGTAGAATTTGCACTAATGCGACTATGGAAACGAGGGAACGGAGTGGATGCAGAAAATAAAGAGATGCCGGAAAGAAATATCAGGAACATGATAGAATTTATGTAAAGTATTACTTTACGTACCTTTAATGTTCTATTTACCTTTCTTTCCTAATGTAATAATTCTTTGATAGAATTAACTAGTAACTAGTAGAATTAACTAGTAAACAGAATCACATTTATTCGGAATTATGATTAATCCGTATAATCTCGAGCAATATTTTATTTACAATATCATAAAATTATTTATTGTTTAAGAATATTATTTGGTTTACGCAGATGCATTTACGAAATGAAGGTCGCGGGTATAGTAACTAGATTAATAGAGATCAAGGGCACTACGTTCACAACAATTTTCGTGAGATTTGAAAGATGCTGAGGGGTTGTACAAATTGCTTCAGGGTGCGGGACTTTACGCGTTACATGACCCATTACAGTATTTCAGAGAAGTCGGTTGGCAGTTATTGCTCTTAAAGTGATGTTAATTCTCATTTTATTTACTAAAGCAAGGAAAATGTGCATTAAAATGAAATACGGCAGTCAGAATTCAAATAGCCAAGCCGTTTACTCGTGTACACCCTTCCGCAAATTTACAAATACTCATTGACCAAAAAATCGTATATTAAAATAAAAAAATCATTAACTTGTTATACATTATCTTGAAAATATTGGTTAATTAATTATTCCTTGTGGAAGGTGCGCTATATCCATTCCATTAAATCATTTATGCAAAATTAAAATTAACAATTAATCTATGACCATTGTTTGCTTACGCAGAATAAAGACAAAAATCGTATCACAAACAAAATCATGTTTCATTACTCAAATTAACATGAAATTAATCAGGTTTTTGTAAGAAAGTATAAAGATACGAAAGAAAACAAAATTTAATACATGTTACAAATTTCTTTAGAATGACTCCACTAGTTTCTCAAATTAATGACCACTGACGTGGAAGAACAAAATTAAGAGATCAAGGAAATGTTTCCTTTCAACCTTAGAAAAACACACTCTTTTTAGGCATTCGTTTACATGAAGAGCCAATTGCTCATCCGATAGCGGTAACTTTGATTTAAATGTCTTGCTCAGGAGTCGCATTCCAAAATTCCAAATTACAGTGTCTATAGCGATTACTCACACAAAGATGACATCAAGGATACTGTTGCAGCCGACAAGAGCAGGAGCACCTGGCCGTCCTAGGTCAGCCAACAGCGAGTATCAAACGATGCGGTTTCCGGCGAAGCATTCGGTCGTAGGTGGCCGGGCTACTCAAACGCGAAGCCAGGGAAACGGCAGGGCCCCCGATGTGTTTCCTCGTAGTCCGTTGCTCGCAAAGTATGTGATGAGACTGAACTCATCTCCGCACACAATGGGTCGATCTCTTCAGGAAATCTCTCAGATTGCACTTTGGGGCTCGCACGCCGAACTTCAAACTATGATATAGCATATGTAGTTCATTTAAGTTACACGACTTGTCATGCGCCTATGGTGCGCGACAGTTAACACCATTTTGTGTTTTACGATATGAGTTTTACCAGAAACGCACCAAAGACCGTAACACAATACTGTACGTAACAGTTCGCCAGATCAGTTCTCTCGCTTTCACCTTAATAATCGCGCGTTCATTAGTTCACAGGGATAGGGAATCGTCGAATTTACATAATCTGAATGTCCACAACTGTTTCTGCATACGTACCCTTTCACTAAAAAAAAAAGAATTAAATCCAACTGTTTCTGCGTACTTAGACTTGCAGACAGTCTAGATTCACATTAAACTCGCTCTGCACTAGAGTAGCGTAACCTTCTCTCCGGTGTCTAGAGTAACAAGACGATTTTTCCCGTTGATTCCCCAGTCTCTCGCGCTCTTTCCCGCCGACGTCTTTATTTGGGCCAATAAGGGCCGTGGCATTTGTTCCGTTCAATGACTCCTTCCGGGGTTGGCCCGTTCTACTCAAGTGACTGCTGATAACAGTTCACCTTCTGCGTCGCTGCGCAAGAAGTGCAGGCATTGAACCACCTCCTTCCCCTTAATAGTACTGGATCCGCGGAAAATTCAAATCCACTCGTACCATCTTCCCACCTAAGGCTAGTCGAAAAATGAGAAGCAGGTCCGCGACGTGACGCAGTGTGTCTCATGGTGAGTTTCTGATATCCTTCGGTTATTGCACCCGTGCACGAGCGCAGGTCCAATAAGCAAGTGGTTATCAGAAACTATCCAAGACTCACCCTGCATCAAGTCACGGACCTGCGTCTCATATAGCGAGTAGGCTTACTGGCATTACTTGTTAGTGGTTAAGCATTATTGCAGGTCTGAGTTATCCAACACTACAGGTCTTTCTCAATATACAGCGTCCAGCTATATCCTGCTGAATACCGTTCTGAATGGTAGCCCTCACACTAGACTACTCGGACGCGCCGCTATACTGGTTTTTACCACCAGGCTGGACTTCGGCCTCCGAAGCCCATAGCAACAGCTTTCCCTCCCGCGGTCAGTGTCGCACGACAGGAGCTGCGTGTGAAGGGCACTGCTGCTTCTTGGTGGCACCAACGAGTGGTCCCGTGTGAAGGCAGCCTAAGACTACCGGTCAGGCTCTCGGGGTCAGCAGAGTTTTTTGCATTCTCAACAACTACTCAGGCGCAGCTAATAATTATGAGCCATTGCATGATTATATTTTCTATATATATATATATATATATATATATATATATATATATATATAAACATTCTTAAAATTTAGTGATCGGAATTTATTGACATACACAAAGTATTGATATAAACAAAGTATATCATTGCTTCTGATATCGTTACGTACAACCACAATCACGACCAAACATACTTCTACATTGTCAAAAAGAATGCAGAATGTTATCGTTATTTTTACACCCAAGATTCACTTAAATCAAATTAAGGAAACCAAAAAATCATATGAATCATTAAGCAAACAAATATGGTGTTATCAAATCTTAACGAATACATTAATACAATTTTATTACTTTTAAATGTTATTCATGTGATATAAGTAGACAAGAAATCCCTGATCACCTTGATGTCAAAAAGTTACTTAGAGCAATTAAAAAAAATTAAGGAAACCTAAAATTATGTATTCTATGTCATTAAAAGCGTTTCAATAATACAGTTCTATTTTAATTCACAATGTAAATATTGACAATAATAAAACAAATAACGGAGAAGGCATTTTAATTATAGCACCACATCTCATCATTCATTCTCAATCTCCATTTAATGTTTTCCCTCGCCATTTCTTTTCTTTGCCGCTCTCCAAACCCCCACTCCTCTCGTACACGCCTATCTGCGTCTCAAGCTCGTCCCTTCCCGTCCTCGGCCCTTCCCGTCCCGTCCTCGTCTCGTCGACGACGAAGAGCCGCCGCTCACGCCCTTCTTCGTCCACAAGCCCTTCTGACTTTTCTAATTTCCGCCAGTGTCACGTCTGGCCCATCCCTCAGCTCCAACGGGCCACCCACCCCCTCCCCCACCCCGCCCCCCGGAGCCGCAACTTCGGCTCGTCGAGAAGTTGCAACTTTCAAGTGCGCGGCTTTTACCTTAAGTATACACCCTCCCGAAGTTTTAAAATACCTCAAACATTTTATTACTTTCCTGTTATTACCGGCGATTTGGAAGGTGCTGTCTCTGGTACAAGGACCCCTCTCAATTACTTGCGACTTGAATGCAGATGGCTAAACGGGTGAAGAAGTTAATCCACAGTTCACTCACGCTTTGATTGTTGGTTCGTGATATGTATATGTTGCAAGGGAGCAGGAGTTGATAAATGTTGAAGTGTTCTTCAAG